GTACTTACAATAAAGGTACTTATTATTTAAAACATAATGTTAAGCTCAGAAAGTCAACGCAGGGCCCACAGCGGCCTAATTGGCCAAGGGGCAGGGCCTTTTCCACGAAGCGGCGCAGCAGGCGACCTTCGGTCAACACGCGGCTCATCAGGGCAAAGGCATCCCGGGCTTGGTTCTGAAGCTCCAGGAAGTGATGCGGATCCGAGACCATTCCTGAAGGCTGTCTGCGGAGTTTTCGGTTCTTTGGGTTGAGGTTTGGGTTGAGGAGCGATGCAGGCCTCCATAGCCCTGCGCCTTAGTTTGCACTTCTCACATTTTGTTTCGACCGTCGCGATGTGGTGTGAGCTACTGTTTTTGCGGCTGCCGGTTTCATGCTCGCCTTCCGCGATGACGTCTTGCGCCCGTTACTGGCCGCGTGTTTCACTAGCATTCTTTTTGGTAGGCATTGCGTCGGATCCCGGGCCTATCGCACAGAAAGAAAGGGTTGAGGAGAAGGATTGCTAACTTGTTGGCTGGGTGTTGTGCTGAACCAGCTGCTTGCTTTTGCAGGAGTGCGTTCTTCTGACCAAATGGGCGTGAGTTGTTCGTCATTAGCCTTCACAGAAGTGGAGACCTGTTAGAACGTGACGCCGGACAACATGAGCCCCTTTGGGCATTGTCGAACCCAGCCGAACTGGGAAGCTTGGAACAAATGGGTCTAAAAAGGGCTGCACAAAACGTATCGGAACCCCATGTAAGCAACGACCCAGAGCCAAGATTCTGTGAGTGCTGTTGTAGATCTCCCTCTTCGCAACGACTTCGGCCCAAGGCACTTCGCAAGACTCGTAGCTGCTGATGGCCCTGCCATAGCTTAGGCGTGACTCCTGCAACAAAGGTCGCGGCGATAGGCATACCGCTTCCATGTCGGGTTCACTTGACTGGCCGTTGATTGCTGGCGCTGCCCATCGCCACACCTTCCTACGAGGCGTTGCAATGACAATCTGAGAAGCAAAGTTCGGAGCCATGTGGTCTTTGGGACTGCAGCTCCAAAGCTGCTGTGGGCAGCGCCCTGCAGCCGTACACGAACCAATAACAAACGAACCCGAAAGTCCCATCACACTTCCAAAGCTGCCAACATCAGAAACAGCAAAAACAAAGCCTCTTAGAGAGATCCCTCATTCGACGACTTGCACTTCTTTGCTGTCCTGTTCAGTTGTAGTTGGCCCTGCTTGGGCCCTGCGGGCCCTGCTTGGGCCCTGCTTGGAGGTTCAAGGGACCTACACCCTAAACTCTAAACCCTAAAACCTAAACCCTAAATCAAGAAAAAGAACCGCGCTTTGCGGATCCCTCCTCCAGCTGCTCTACCATGTCGATAGTGCTGATGAAGGCCTGGGATGTTAGAGAGTTACAGAGAAAGCAAGGTGTGCAACCCATGGTTTAGATAGGGTTTAGGGTTTAGGGTTTAGGGTTTAGGGTTTAGGGTTTAGGGTTTAGGGTTTAGGGTTTAGGGTTTAGGGTTTAGGGTTTAGGGTTTAGGGACGTTTAGGGTTTAGGGTTTAGGGTTTAGGGTTTAGGGTTTAGGGTTTAGGGTTTAGCGTTTAGCGTTTAGCGTTTAGGGCTTAGGGCTTAGGGCTTAGGGTTTAGGGCTTAGGGCTTCGGGTTTCGGGTTTCGGGTTTAGGGTTTAGGGTTTAGCGTTTAGGGTTTAGGGTTTAGGGCTTGCTGTGATAGGGCGTAGATGCTGTGAAGGTTAGGTTTCGGAACAAGCTCGAAAGCTGCGTGAGGTGCGAAGAGCAGCTTTGGCCCGATTGTGGAGGGCCATCTAACATTTTCTCCCACCCCACGCCGTCCAAGGAGGCAAAATCACCCACAAACCTATTCCTTTTAGGGATTTAGCCCTAAACTCAGACAACAGTCCGTTTCTAAAAACTTATTCAGTTTCATGACGTTCGTTGGGTCCGAGAGTCAAAGGAATGGGGGGTCGGGAGGCAGTTTCAGGGAGGGTCGCAGGCAGACGTTAGAGGCGCAGCCATAGGGCAGGGCCCGGGGACCAGTCAGGCCAGAGGGGAAACAGAGGCGGCTGGGGCCCTGGGAGTACCTCCCCCCCTGAAAAGGCCAACGCCCCAGTCATGACCGGCTTAAGGTGATTACTTTATTTTAAGGGACCAGTACTGGTGCCGACGAGAACGTGTTCCACTACCGAGCCCATCTGCGCACTACCGACCCCCATGCTGTGGGAGCGATCTGGGTCGGCTTGCGAGGCCGAAAGCGCCGCCCCCCAACGTACGGGGGGGCGGCCTCGGCCCTGAGTTTAGGGTTTAGGGTTTCGGGTTTAGGGTTTAGGGTTTAGAGTTTAGGGTTTAGGGTTTCGGGCTTAGGGTTGAGCGTTTGCTCACTGAAGCGACGAGCCTCGACCCAAAGGGGTCGTGGGCGGCGCGTCGCGCGCAAGCTAAAGCCCCACCCCTAGTTCTCTCGTTGCTTTGTATTCTCTGCTGTAGTTGATGTTGTAGTATAAATCAAAACGAAAAGTAAAGCAGCCAAAAACGCGCTCGGGGCCGCGGCGCCATCGCCCGCTGTCACTGCGCTCTGCGGCGCCGCTGCATACAAGAACGTTTCTTGTTCTCACGCTGCTTTTGTATTCTCTTCTGCAGTTGACATCTTGGTATAGATCATAAACGAAGATTATTAAGACAGAGGGCAACATTGTGTTGTTTACGATGTGTCTAAAAGCCCGAGCATGACCGGAAGGAGGGTCCGAATATCGCGCTCGGGGCCGCGGCGCCATCGCTCGCTGTCGCTGCGCTCTGTGGCGCCGCTGTGTACAAGAACGTTTCTTGTTCTCTCGTTGGTGTTGTACTGTTGCTGTAGCTGACATCTTAGTAAAAATCATAAACGAAGACTAAGGCAGTGGGCAACATTGTGTTTCTTATGATGTATCTTGACACCCGAGCAGGCCCGGAAGGAGGGTCCCAATATCGCGCGGCGCCATCGCTCGCTGTCGCTGCGCTCCGTGGCGCCGCTGTGTACAAGAACGCTTCTTGTTCTCACGTTGCTTTTGCATTCTCTGCTGCAGTTGATATCTTAATAAAAATCATAAACGAAAATAAAGGCAGAGGGCAACATCGTGTTCTTTATGATGTATCGGGGCCGCGGCGCCCTGAAGGCCCCACAGAGGCCCTTGAACCCTAAACCCTAAACCCTAAATCCTGAGTCCCAAGAACCCTGAACCCTGATTCCTCCCTAAACTGTGAGCAAGACCCCTGATTAGCTGCCGGCAACTGTGAATGAGAGGCTGGGCCCCTGACGGACTTTACGTGCAGCATCGCAGAACCCAGCATCAGCTCCAAGCTTTCGAGCTGATGCTCCTCGCGTGCCGCTGCTGCTGAGGGGCCAGCGGGTAGGGATTCCTTTTTAGGGCTTCCTTTTTGGGGGCGCATCTGTTGTGTTGTGTTCTTGATTTTTCAATGGAGATGAGTGCGAAAGAGTCTTTGTTGTATGGGAGCCATGAAGTTTCGTCCTTGTTCGGGTTGCGACGCACTGCTTAGGAGTAGTGACTAGTGGAGAAGCTGAAAATGGGTCACAATCAAAGCAGGTGCGAAACCTATGACTAAGCTGAAGGAATCAAGTTGCGAGTTTCAAGAACCAAAACAGCAGGATTTGAGGTCGAGGCTGGAGTCCAGTGTGGTCTACAGCCGTTGGATAATCTGGACTGTTCTTGAAGTGACGACGCCAACTAGGGTTGCCTCTGGACCCAGTTCCATGTGTGCGTGCACGAGCGCAACCGTCATCGAGAAGTTTGAAGTTTGAAGGAGTGCCCACATCATACTCTTTGACTGCTCTTGGAAAACAGAGCTGGCAGCGGCAGGGCGGATGTGGAAATACGCCATCTCGTCAATCCTGAACCCTCGTCTGTTGCTAAGGCTATTGGGCAATAAGTATCTTCTTTGAGTTTGAGCAGAATGGAATCTGATTCTGCAGCACGTCTTGAGGTTTGAGGGGTCCGCGACCGGAACTGCGCCCCTTCCGTGACTTCCTCTCCTCAGCAAGCTCCACAGAGCTATCCACGGCAGCACGGAGTTCGTCCATACGCATCGCATTCCCGACAAGCAGGTCCGTCATGATTGCCTGTTCCGGGTTGCACGTATGATTCAAATGAATCCTCATCTCCACTTCCGAAGACTGTAGCGTGGGCCGGGGCTCCACCATGACTCAATGGCTTGCTAAACAGGCATACGCAGAAAACGGCCCGTGAACTTTGTACTTGACCCAAAAACTTACAGTAACATGTGGACGCTTACCACACGTAGTGACGTAGTGTCTTCAGCATCTGACCCCTGCTGCAACGACATAGCTTCATGTGTCCCGCAACATTCTGGCTACACTGACTAAAATCCTTTCTCGATGCTGTGCCTATGCATGTTTATCCGGAGAACGAATTCGTGCTTCTTGCCGGGTTCCGAGCATGCCTACAACAAGTCCAGCTGCCTGGTTGAAACTCCGTCCCCTGCCCTATTCAGGGCCTGCCGTCCCTGAAGTGCAGTCATCTCCGTGTTGAAGTTATCTTCGAAGCGCTGGACCTGGTTCCTGACCTGCCGGCGTCCCAGGTGAAGGGCATGCTTGCAAACGCGTTGACCCTGAAACATGTTGCCAAACGAAGGGCAGAGAGAAAGAGAGAGAGAGAGAGAGTGAGTACAGCGTTTGGGCCATTTAGGGCCTTCAGCGCAGTTTCGGTCGTCAGGGTGTGTCAACAAAGGGTTTTTTGTCGCTGTGTCGGATTCCATCCTTAGCTCGGAGGTTGGGCCATCACAGGTCCCTTCTTCGAGCTACTCCACCAGGCCATGCCTTCCCTGCCCGCACTTCAGTATACGTAGTCGCCTGGGCATCCACCGGATCCGCCACCTCCGTCGATGGAGGAAAGACTTCTGCACCAGAGCGCCCCGGACCTAGGGTTTAAGCCTTTGTACGCCATGTAAGCCGGGACGCCTGGCCGCTCACCCTCTGCATGACTGTTCCGGTGTCCGACCTGCTGTCTTGACCGATCTCCAGACACGCGATGATGAAGCAGGGGGCAGATCTCGCCATCTACAGTAGAACCTGGAGACGGCCGAGAGCAGCTGGGAGACATCTTCGAATTTCTCAGACAATCCCCTTGAACCTGCCACCGTGAAACTTGTGAGTTGTCCTGCCCCCCCCCCCCACAAGTTTGTAAGTTGTCTCCCACCCTCCGGCCCCCACCCGCCCAAAAGCAAGTTTAAAACAGAGCAACAAACCCGCCTTTTCCAAACACGCCAAAAAAAAGCTGAGGCCGTCCCAACGAGGAACCTGCAATGCTGATGCCAGAAACTAGCAGACGATTGTCGGCTTGTAGCCTGACCTCCCCACAGTAAAACATGGAGCGAGTGAACAGCTTCAAAAGCCTTTCCCCCCGCGCCTTGTTGAGCCCATCCTCCATCTGGTTGACAATGCGCTCAGTACTGGCAACGACAGTCCTGAAAAGCAGCATAAACGTCTCCGGCCAACCGTCGACTTTGGCTGTCTCTATCAGCCTCCCTCGTGCTGAAATTTGCGCGTTCTCACTCGTGCCCTGTAGAGTGCAGTACATCCCGGACCTAGCTGCAGGCATTCAAGCCAGCCGTTGCCCATGGTTCGCAACGGCCAAGCGGCCCTTTGGGCTACTGTGACGTGCATCAGTGCATGACCTAGTTGAACCCCACGGCTCGCAATAAAGACAACGACGCAAACCTTGAGATCATGTCGGCACTTCACACGAGGTAGTGCCTGGTACACGTGGTAAACGTTTGGCTTGGAGCGGCCCCCGCTTCCCCCAAATCCCTGTCCTTTTCACATCGCCGATGTCTGCCTTCAACTCTTCCTTGGCTTTCCTCAGCTGTTCTCGGCCCAGACCAGAACAAATGCAGTAAGGATCTGACCCTGCGGGATATCCTGTAATTGCCCGTGAGGATTAAACCCTCCATGAAAAGCAACTGCGGGGGAGCTCGGACTAGACGCTTGCCACGAAAGCCCTGGCGCTGTTGTTGTGGCGCCTCCAAGGACAGATTTAGATGGTAGCCATGACAAATGAATGGTCCGCAGCCACATGGAAAAACAATGAGCACGAAGCTCATGGCGATCATGGGCGCTGCTTGCTTCGGCTTCAAGCTCAAAAAGAAGCCGCCTCCACTTCCGGAAACCATACAGATTTTAGTCATGGTGATGACATGGATACGTGATAAACTGGAAGGCACATCTCGAAAGCATATCACAAACCGATGATGCTACTGCGGAGAATCTGGATCTCTTTGGCAGTCATCTTGCCCATGGACTTGATCTCATTGCTCACCTGAGAGCGGTGAAAACGATGAAAAAAAGACTCGCTACCCAAGTCTAGTTTCGGGCATAGCGGCATACGATCTTCTGGCCAACAGCTGACGAAAGGTTGGAGACCCCGAAGAGGACGACAAGCTTTAAGAAAGGCTGTCACGATAGCAAAGCAGAGACTTGCAGTTGGCCCACGACAGATCTACAAGTGCGACATTCCACAGCCAAATAACACCGACGAGCACGATGCTAAGCGCAAATCGCGGGCCGAAGCCCCAACTCCGGCAGCTCAGATTGCCAGGCTTGAATCGGTCTAAACGTTGGGGACCCCATGCTACACATGCACGTATTACGGCGTGCAACTGTGACCACAAATAAGGACTGCGACGGTTGAAGGTTGCATGGCACGAACGGCTCCCACCACCTTGTCCATCTTCTTTGATAGGTACTTCTTGGACTCCTGCACATTTCAGTTAACTCAAGACTAACGCCCAAAGGAGTGGAACCCATCGTTTGAGTGACTCTAAGGACACATGTTGCGGCTCAAGTGCGGCTTCTAAAAAAAGTGCACTCCGTCAAAAAACAGAGCAGCTCCAATTCTCAGGGGGTCTCGAAACTTGCCTCTTCGGATTCTGAAAACCGCTAAACATCTGGATTTCATGCAGTACGATGCCAAAGTAACCTGTGCGAGAATGAAGTCATGCCTGGACCTGCACACTTGGATGCCGGAGCAAGAACAACACTCAACACGCTCAACTAACAATCCACCGCCGTCAACATCAAGAGGCGGGAAGAAGGCTCTTGAAGGCTCGGACTATGCGCCACTTCGTCTCAGCCACCAAATCGAAAACTTTTGGGGATCAACACAAACTGTCCTATTCAGAGGGCCAAAATGCATCACAACAGTCTATTTTAAGCGTTCCACGTGCTGCAAATTCCCGCATTTCTGACTGCTCACCGACTCCAAACACAGCGTTTCTGACAGCTCAAAAAATTATCTTGCGAGCTCAGAGACTCCAATTGCTTTAACATACAGTTGCTACAAGTACTCGGATCCAAGTGCTGTGAGTTGCAGCATTTCTGCTCGTCATCCACCCACGTTGTACTACTTCAAGGGTTCTTGCTTCAAAGCAAGACAAAAAGGGAGGGGTGGTGGAAAAAATTGCGCCAAAAAACTTCTGAGACGGTTTTCATAATCACCGCCCATTACCTGACCCATTTTCGTTCTCCCCCTCTTGCAGGTACGCATCGGAACGTCTTCCAATGCTTCACAACCTCGTTCCTTCGCTGTATGTTGATCCTGAAAAGGTTTTCTTGATCCTTCAAAGGACTGTTTTAAACGCACGCCCGTTTAATTCCCGCAGCTCGTGGCACCTCCATGCCTGCCATGATGGTGGCGGTGTTCTTCTTTCCCTCTGCAATGACCTCTGGGCACATGTGCAGGCGGAGGCTTGGCAGTTAGAGCTTTGCAGACTAACAGAAACCTTCTGGGGTGTATTCCGCGGTGACCAAACCCAGCATGACGATGGCTAAAACTGAGCAGCAGCAGACATGGATTCCTGCTCGAGAACCTACTGTTTTCGTGGGTCGAACCTCCAAGCAAGTGCGTCAGTGGGCGGTGCCAGACACGGATGAGCACGTGCTTCCCGCCAAAAACTCGTAAATCTATACGGCGCACTTCTTAATTTAGGGTTCTGAGTCTAGGGCTCGCTTCGCTGAGGGTTTGCGGGATCAACACAAAGCTTGCATCCGACCCACGCAATGACCCTTCGGAAGGAAATTCCTAATGCTTCCGAGAACAAGTCCCGGAACCCGACACATCAGAAACAGTGTTCTGCCAAGTCTGCTAAGCCAAATGTTACTAAACATTGTTCTGGAACACCTCTTCTCATTCTTTTCTCCCCGAATCGTCCCACTTGCCACGGGCGCCGTGTGAATGTCACTCCCTACCCAATACCGGAGGCCGAAGGAACGCTTCCGCCACCAGAGCTGGACTAAGCGAGCTTGGTAGCATGATTTGTCATGGCAGGCCTTGTCCTCCAACTCGTCCATCTGCTGGGTGAGCTCTTGCCCCATTTTCCTCGGCCCACCATGACCCGGTATGAGAAGACAGCTTGATGGACTCCAGATGTGCTCTAGGGGGCTCCCTTAGGGCCTCAGGAATCTCAAAGGGGCCCCCGAACCACACCATAACGTTGCGAAGCCCGAAGCAAAGCCCAGCTTCTTGATCTCTTCACGGGTCTCCTTCACTGTATCTTTGAGGGAAGCGGATGGTGAAGAGACATGAGCCGAGAGTGGCACATGTACTGTCATCTGAAATGACAAGGTTGGTGCGTTTTTTAATATTTTGTAGAGCGTCGCGGGACGTGACTTGAGAGCGAGTGCTTCGTAGGCTGAGTGAGGCCTGTCAGAAAGCTTCACTGGCGAAGCATACCATAGAGGCCGAACTAAATCTGCTAATGCTCTGAAGCACACTTGAGCTTCGTCGATAGGTTTTCCGTACCAGGAATACAAGACAGAATGTAAGGCGAGGCTTTTCGTGCCAGGGAGCAGCTGGAGACTGATTAGCCTTTCTGCAAAAATCTGGTAAGGCTTCAGGTTTAGACAAGTGCAAGGAAAGGGATGTCTTCACCCCTTCAGCTCCTCTTGGCCCTTCTTCAGCTCTTCATGACCGGCTTTCATCTCTTCCGTCAAATTGTCGATCAAGTCTTGCGTGTGGTTCATGATCTCTTGCTTGCTTTGCTGGATTTCATCCTTGAGTTCAGCCTCGAGGTTGTCAATTCGCTCCATGGTCTGATTCTGGAACTCCTCCATCTTTTCATGCGTCTGCTCCGTGGCGAAGATCGTTAGGCCGCTGCTCTTGCTGTCAGACAAATGCGCTGAGTCACACATGTTCGCCGTGGAGACCTTACAGACTTTCGTGAAGATGTCAACCATGTCGCCCTTAGCAATGCATCTCAGCTTTGTCTAGACCCCGGTCTTAAGCAACATTAAGCCAATCATTTAACGGCACGACACTCCGCGAGCCGAATGCCACGGAATGATGGGCTCCTTTTCACTAGCCTCTTACAAAAAAACAAACAACTTGGTGTGGAGGAACAACTTAGTCTCCGTCCACTAATTCCTCACCCATCTCCTCCACCTCGTCCATGGCTTCATCAGCGATATCGTGATAGTGCTTGTTCCAAGCAGCAATACCCGAGTCGAAACTCTTAAGTTGGTCGACAGCCTCAAAAACCTCGTCCGCTCCAAGCACCTGGCCGAGGGACTCCCATTTGAAGGCTCGAAAAGCCTCAGGCAAGACTGAGTTTCTCTTGCACCTTGAGCAACGACCAGGAAGGTTTGCGAAATTCTCGACACCCTTGCACTGGGCTTCCTTTGCGAAGTCGCTGTTTCCACAGACGAGCTTTCGTGCAACTGCAACGTTCCCTTCCTGCTTGATGCTGCGCGCCTGCTGGCGGCAACTAGCACGGAATCTTACCATGTGTCGGGGATCCGTGTCGCTACACTCGACGAACTGCTTCGACTCTGGCAGCTGCTGTTCCACTTACCCATTACACCGGTCAAGGCCACGTGAACATGGGGATCCTAACTTCAGGGTAGATGGTCCCTCGCAAGGGCGATCCCACATGTCCTTCCTCACAAGAGAGGCCTCCCAAAGCAGAAGGAGCTGCAGCATAAGAATGTGGCAGCCGCCCAAGTATTGGAAACACTATCAGGCCTTTACTTAGTATGACTCAGCCCCTGCCTGGTCGAAGCCGGCGAGAAGATCATTTGTTCGGGCGGCCAGTGCGCCCACGAGCGCATGGTGGTCTCCCTGCAAAGTCTATCAGAAAGGACGGAGTAAGCTGATGTAGTTCCCAAGAACGCACCGCTCGCGCGTCGTGCCATACGGAGTCTCCGGAAGTCGAGAAACACTCAACAAATTGAGAGAACAACGGAAAAAACACGAGAAAAAGGGACGACAGTTTGCAGCGTTGCTGCTACTGTCACAGTTTGTAGCAGCTTGTACCTTTGTTTGTTTGTTTCCGCGAGCCGCGCGGTGATGTCTGGGTCCAGGTCTACATGTGCAGTACAGATTGAGGAGGCTGCACATGGGGCAAGGGTGGGGAGCGTCGGCATTGATGCTGAAAGCTGCTCAGAGTGAAATCAGCATTGTTGCTGAGATCTGTATATTCGGGTCCGCGTGTACCGCTTGGGGGCTATTATTCGGCATTGGTGCTGGGAGACCGCGTGGGTCCATATTTTGTCCGAAGTGTTGTTCCAAGTCTGTCTTACAGCATCTATTAAAAGCGAAGCGCTACACACGTGAAACTTGCACCACTCTCTCATATGTCTTGGCCTGTGCATATGTCTTGGACACCAGGTGGGTTCCCCGGGGTAAGCTGGTGCCGGCCTGCGGTCAGTCCTTACTCGCTTGCAGTGGTTTGTCCAACTCGCGGCAACCAAAGGTGGGTTGACCCACGCACTTTCGTGGATTGTCCCACTTACATGCTTGTGCTCCTGTGGCGTTATATAGCTGTTCCCACACTTGTGTACTTAAAATAGGTACTGCTCCAAACTAAACCCATGCTGCAAGTTTTGTGTTCCAAGGCGCTTTCTGTCCCGTAGTCGCCTGTGCTATGTCGGGGCTACCCCCAGAACACGCTGAGTGCTCTGCAGGGTGTGGCACCTCCAGTTAGACCGTGCCCACCAGAAGCCGTGAATCAGTACACTGCAGGTGTTGGTCAAGGGCAGCATTTTCAATGCGATGCTCAGGAAAAACATGCAAGGGGCTCGTGATCATCCCGGGCATGGTGTTACTCACGGGATCGAGTCCATGAACCCAGGGCAGCTGTGCAGTCACCAAACTCCGATATACATACACACATATATATGTATATAGATAATATAGTTTTTATTTATATAAAAAAATATATGGTAACCTCCCCGCCCAAGACCAACCTCATGACCACTTTGGTACTTTCACGACTCCACATTCAAAAATTCCGTTTTTTAGAATTTGGGAACTTTGGAAATATTGGCCTAATTTTGTTTGGGGAATTTGGGAATTCGGATTCGTGAACATTTTACAGCCTGTGCTGACTTTCCTGGGCAGGCATCAGAGCGCAGCACAAGACACAAGTACAGGTAGCGCAGTGCCAGGTTCTGATGCAACTTATACCTTATCGGTTAAGGGCTTAGGGTTTTAAAGAGAAGCCCCGAAACCCTATGGATTAAACAATTTAGCTTAAACCCTGAACCTTTACACCCTGCGGGGTTAAGGTTTACAGGTTTCGTGTTTAAGCTTTAGGCGTTTAAACCTAAGTCGGCAATTAAACCTAAACCCTTAACCTGTAATTTGGGGTTAAGATTTAGGCATTTTAAACCTAAACCGCCTAAACCCATAGAGTTTAAATCTTAAGGGTTTAAGGTTCAGAACCCTAAAACCCTACAGGGCTCTAAAAGGCTCAACGGTTTTAACCCTAAAGGGCGCTGAAGGTATACATGCCCAGATCTTAGGTTTCTAAACCATTAACCCTTTTGGGATTCAAGGTTTAGGGTTTAAGGTTTGAACCCCGGGGGATGCAAGAATGAGGTGTGAGTAAATGTCCTTCACTATTTCCTGGGATTCAAAACCAAAACAAACTCTATCGATGTATGCTAGCATTCAGGTTTTGCTTATCGGGGGATGGTTGCTGGAGATACGTTTTGCTTATTGGGGCGTACTTTAGCTAAGGTACAGTGCTCAGTATACCGTTCAAGTTTGCTTATTGGGGGATGCTTGCTTGAGATATCTTAGCTAAGGCACAGTGTTTAGTATAGAGTTCAGGTTTTGCTTATTGGGGGATGATTGCTTGAGATATCTTAGCTAAGGTATAGTATTTAGGATAGATGTTTTGTGCTGCTTATTGTGGCGTGATGGCGTAAGATATGTTTGATAGGTGTTTAGTGTAGACTCCAGTTTTTGCTTATTAGGGGATGACTGCTTGAGATATCTTAGCTAAGGTATAGTTTTTAGGATGGATGTCATGTTTTGCTTGTTGGGGCGTAACGGCTTAAGATATGTTAGCCAAGTAAGGTACAGTGTTTAGTATAGAGTACAGGTTTTGCTTACTAGGGAAAGCCTGCTTGAGGTTTCTTAAAGTATAGTTTTTGATGACTGATTGCTTAAGATACTGCAAAACCTCGAGGAGGTACCAAAAGATCCAACAGTCAGTCACATGATACGATGTTCAGAAGATACATTCCAATTTGAATCTTAATATCGTGTTATCATATGTCATAAGTATATATTAGGGCACTGTGACCCGGACATGGGGGACTTGTCAAAACCAAAACCCCCCCCAAAAAAAAAAAAAAAAAAACATTTTGCCTTAGCACTCCAGGGTCTCTGGGGAGCTCTGGGGTTGGGCACTCCAACAATTCTCTGGGGTTGGGCACTCCAGGGCGTGTCTGGGGTGGGCACTCGAGGGAGAGTCTCTGGGGTTGGGCAATTCAGGGTCTTTGGGGTTGGGCACTCCAGGGAGTCTCTGGGGTTGGGCACTCCAGGGAGGGAGTAGACCGGGCGAGGAGAAGAGTTGAGTTTAACATCTAACAACCCCACACCGAAGGTGAGAAAAAACAGCAAAAAAAAACGCCAAAAACAAAAAAACACAAAAATTGGGCACTGTGACCCGGACCTGGGCGACTTGCCAAAACCAAAAAAACCAAAACAAAGAAAATGGGGCACCATGACCCGGACCTGGGGGCTGGTCTCCCAAACTTTTGGCTTTGGATTTTTTGGTGTTTTTTGTGTCATTTTTTCTCGTTGTCTGGGTCTTTCTGGTTCTTATGTCTTTGTTGTTTGTTTGGTTTTTTTGGTGTCTTTGGATGTTTTGTTTCCGTGTCTCTTTACGTAGCTTTTGTTTTCCTCTGGCAGCTTGTTGTCACTGTGGCTCTTGCACCTGCTTCTTGCTCTTGGATTCGTGCGGGGTTGGTCTGGGGGGGGGGGGGTAGCATATATATATATATGTATTTATTTATTTATGTATATTTATATTTATATTTATATTTATTTATTTATCTATTTATTTACTTATTTATGTATTTATATTCATATATGTGCTACCCCCCCCCCCCATGCGCCCACGCATCAGCATGGTTTACAGATACAAATACTGCGTTCCGCAATGCGCGGTCATTTTTACAGGGGTGAGGGACTCCCATAAAAACTCCAGCAGAAGTGACCTGAACAATTTGCTGGAGATTGTGGATTGCATGCTATGAATTTAAATAGGAATCCTATGCATGTGAAAAGCGTTCCTATCAAATTTAATGGGGTTCACAGGATTCATTTTGTTTTAATAGGAATCTTATTAAATGAATAGGAAACCCTTTAAAATGAATGAGAACCCTTAATACTATTACATTCAATAGGAACCGTATTCTAATGACAGGATCCTATCTAAAATTGATAGGAACCCTATTAAAATAATCGGAACCGTAGAAAAGTTAATAGGAAGCTATTGCCCTATTAAAGTTAGTGAAAATCCGATTATATTGAATCCTCATAAACTGAAGAGGACTCCTACTAAAATTTATAGGAACCAATGGGACTCCTAGAAAAAAGAATGTGAACCCTTAAAAAACTAAGAATCCCACTAAGATTAATATGAGCCTAAACCAATAGGAACCCCTTTCGCAAGAATGAGATCCCTATTAGAAATTAATACGAATCCCAGTAGTATGAGTAAGAGCCCTAAACAAATGATGGGGATTATTAAGATAAATAGGCACCCTATGAAACTTCTTTGAAATCCGCTGAAATAAATTTGGAATCCTCTATTGAATTCATAGGAATCCTATCACATGGATAAAAGTTTAATAGGAAGCCTATTACAATGAAAAGGAACCCTCAACAACTTAGAAAGAACCCGGATATCACACATCGGAACCCTAGCAAAATGAGAAGGGATCTTCCTAAAAATGAATAGGAACCAATCGGACTCCTATGACAAAATAAGATTCCTTGAACAAAATTTAATAGAAATCCTACTACATGAATATGAGCCTAAACCAATAGAAATCCCTTTCAAACGAATGAGATCCCTACTAACATTAATACCAATCCCATTAACATGAATAAGAACCCTAAAACATTATGGGAATCTTATCACAATAGTAGGAGCCTTTTTACAATAATTAGGAACCCTATGAAACTTTAATGAAATCCGATCAAATTTTTATCGGCGCCGGATAAAAGTTAATAGGAAGCATATTGACATGAATAGGAACCCGTAACAAATTGAAAAGAGCCGGCTGCAATTCATAATAATCCTGTTAAAATGAGACATGACAAAACCTTGCTAAACAAATCTAACCCAATAGGACCCCTGTATGAGATGAAGTGATTCGGCTAAAAAGATTGGTTGGGACTTTACAGCATTATTGCTTGCTTTGGCTTGAGAAAAGGTTGTTTTGGGACATGGGACAGCACAGCGTTTTTGCAATCCCAGGCCTCCAAAGTGCTGCACTGTCCCAAAAAACCACTGTTTTAAAGCAAACAGAGCAAAAATGCTGCCTGTCCCCAAAAAAACCAACAAAAAAAACAAAGTTTGTAGACTGCGGGCACAGATCCAAGTTCCACCAGGCGAACAGACGCTACATATACTTCAAGAACCAGGCGGCCACTGCGGCATATAGGTAAACTTCCAAGACGAGTGCAGATACACTTCCGAGAACCATGACCACAACGGTAAGTACACTTCTCAAGAACTGGGCCACGACGCTACATGCACTTCCAAGAAGCCAGCTGTCCATGATGTAAGGTACACTTCACTGTACCTACCGGTATGACCCACTGAATCCTGCAAGGCAAACCTCCTGGAGGCCTGGTTCTTGGAAGTGTACCTACCTTGTGGCTGCCTTGATACTGGAAGTTTACATACAGTCGTGGCCACCAACTTGGAAGTGTGTGTACCTGCTGTCCTTCGTGGGCAGCTGGCAATTACCTACCATTGCGGTCGCCCGACCAGACGCTACATGCACTTCCACGAATCGGTGGGACACGACGGTAGGTTAAGCTTCCAAGACGCTGGTTGGCACACTTCCAAGAACCATGACCACAACGGTAAGTCCACCTCCAAGGTACAACTCCAAGCACCGTGACCACAACGGTGCGTAAAATCACAGAAGCATGACCACAACATACCACAACGGTAGGTTCTCTTTCAAGACTCAGGCGACCACACTCTTCACACACTCCCAAGAATCAAGCAGTCACCGCGGTAGACACAACTTCCAAGACGGCGGTAGGTAAACTTCCAAGAACCGTGACGTATTGGCAGACACACTTCTAATTTTGGACCCTCTTTAGTGCGCGCCCCCCCTGGTTTTCGCCCTCTTTAAAGGGTTCCGATAGTTTATATGACTTGAATACGGCGGAGTTTATATAAATTCAACAGGGATCCATATGATTTAAAAGATGAGTCTATATGAATTCAGAAGGGATCCATGTGATTCCAAAAGGGATGTTGTTTTTGAATTTAACAGGAATCCAAATTTGTTTTGAAAAGGGATCCATACGATTTTAAAAGGGATGAGTTGGCCCGGCCTTTTAGCCAAGAGGCCAAGGAATCCAAATTCAGAGACCCCGGCCCAGGGCCTTGACATTAAACAAGGTCCCGAATCAGTGGCCATTATTCAGGGTGCGGTGCCTCTTTCTTTAGAGACTGAACCCCAACAGTATGTGCTGTTGGGAATAGAAAAAGATGTCCATTTCTACATTTGCTATTACAGCTATACACACAGCTTGGACAAGCATAATTCTAAGAAAAGACACGAATTGTGCCTAGAAAGCTAGATTTGCCTCGGAAAAGTTTGTAAACGCATAAGTTTATGCACCAAAGCCTTTTTTTGTTTCAAATTTGGCACAAAAACAACTCCAAAGATCCAGAAAAACAAAACTATGAAGCCTTGATCCCACTTTGTTATTGGGTTTTCTTTTCTTTTTCCCAGGGCTTGTTGCTTTTTTTGGAAGCATCAAAAAAGACATGCGTTCTTTTGGAATTTAGGTGTTCCGTGCCTGAAATCCCAAAAAAACATGTTTTTTTGGACTTGCACTCGAAATCCAAAAAAAGCAGCCCGCGGAGGGCACAATCCAAAAAGGATTTTGAAAAACCTTGGGAAAACCAAAATGGGATCCCGGCTTCATGATTTTAGATTTTTGTTTTTTGGGTTTTTTTGTCTCTTCTGCAAACAAGCATTTTTTGCATAAAATTATGCGTTTACAAGCTTTTCCTATGCAAATTAATCACATGGTGTTCACGAAATTGCATTTTCGTACGTTTTTGTTCGGTGTTTTTGGGTGATGACGTGAAAATAGTGCCCAACTCCCAAAAAAGCACTTTGCCGTACATGCTCAGCATGTCACTTTTATCGGTATTTGCGAGGGTTTTCATAGGGAAACAGAGAAACCTAGATGATGGGAGGGGGGGGGGCATACATATATATATATATATATATATATACATATATTTGGTACCCCCCCCATATGCCCACACTTTTGCCTCTCAGGTGCCATGGTAGGGTTTAGAGGTTTAGGATTTCGAAGCCTCCTAGGGCAGCGAGCACGAAAGCGCTCTACTGTACTAATGTTTTAGACCCAAAAGAGCAAAAACGCTGTACTGTCACAAAAAACCAATTTTTTTAGGCAGAAAAGTGCAAAAATGCTGTACTGTCAAAAAAAACCTAAAAAACCAAAGTTTGGAGACCTCCAGGCCCTGGAGGCTCCCCAGCTCTCCAAACTTTGTCTTTTTAGGTTTTTTTGCGACAGTACAGCACTTTGGAGGCCTGGGACTGCAAAAACGCCGTACTGTCCCAAAAAAACCAATCTTTTTAAGCCAAAAGTGCAAAAATGCTGTACTGTCCCAAAAAAACAAAATAAACCAAAGTTTGGAGACCTCCAGGCCCTGGAGGCAACCAAGCTCTCCAAACTTTGGTTTTTAAGGTTTTTTTAGGACAGTACAGCATTTTTGCACTTTTTTCCTTAAAAACATTGGTTGTTTGGGACAGTACAGCACTTTGGAGGCCTGTGACTGCAAAAACGCCGTACTGTCCCAAAAAACAAATCTTTTTAAGCCGGAGTCCTATTTGTTCCTACTCATTTTCGTAAGATTCACTCTCATTTTAACAGGATTCCTATGGGTTATAACCGGTTCTTTTCAATTTGGTGAGGGTTACTATTCATGTTAATAGGCTTCCTATTAGTTTTTGTCGGTTCCGAAAAATGTCGGCAGGATTCCTTTGAATTCAATAGAGGGTTTCTATTTATTTTCATAGGATTCCAATAAAGTTTCATAGGGTTCGTAATTATTCTAATTAGGCTCCTACTAATGTAATAAAAATCCTATCAGTTTTAGGGTTCTTATTCATGTTAATGGGATTCGAATTAATTTCAATAGGGATCTCATTCGTTTGAAATGGATTCCTATTGGTTTAGGCTCATCTTCATTTAGTAGGATTCCCATTAATACTTGTTAAAGGAATCTTGTCTTTTCATATGAGTCCTATTACTTCGTAGTAATCTTAGTAAGAATCATTCTCATTTTAATAAAATTCCTATGAAATACCACCGCGTTCTTTTTGATTTGTTAAGGGTCCTTATTCATTCTAATAGGCTCCCGATTAGCTTTTATCCGAAACAATTTGATAGGATTCCTATGAATTCAATGAAAGATTCCTATATATTTTCATAGGATGCCAATAAAGTTTCATAGGGTTCCTAATCATGTTAACAAGGCTCCGACTAATGCAATAAGATGGAATTCGTATCAATGTTTAACAGAGATCTCATTCATCTGAAAGGGATTCTTATTGGTTTAGGCTTATATTAATTTAGTAGGATTCCTTTTATTTTGGGGTTCACTTCATGTTAAAGGGTCTCCTTTTCATTTTAATAAGATTCCTATTAAAACAAAATGAATCCTATGAACCCCATTAAATTTGATAGGAGCGCTGTTCACATGCATAGGATTTTAATTAAATTCATAGCATGCAATCCAGAATCTCGAGCAAATTGTTCAGGTCACTTTTGCTGGACTGTTTATGGGAGTCCCTCTCCCCTAAAAGCCACCGCGCATGGCGGAACGTAGTATTTTTATCTGGAAACCATGCTGAAACGTAGGCACACGGGGGGGTAGCATATTTATATATATATATATATACATACACAACTATATATACATATATATACATATATATATATATACATATATATAAATATATACATATATATATGTGTGTGTGTATACATACCACATACAGTGTACAGTATACGTTGTATGTTCTATACTTATCGGCCACATAAATACATACCTCGAAGCGTTGTTCACGCTTCTCCTCGCGTTTTTTACGCTTTCCACGAATTTGTTGCTTTTTTTGCGCTTTTATCGCTTTTCGCGTTTTTCGCGTTCTGGTCGAAGCCAAGACACTCAAAACGTTTCCACAGTGCAACGAAGCCCTGCCCGAGCCGACCCCAGCCCTCCCCCTCTCGGAATCTTTATTATCTCGATCGTGATGCTACTGTGAATCTCGCTTTGGGTTCAGGAGGGAGCCCGCAGCAAGGCCTGAGGAACAGCCTTCTCTCGTAATCGCATGTTGCTGCACACAGTACCCTTAAGCCCCCAAACCATGCAGACTTCTCCGTGCGACTTGGGGATTCGGCTTTCGCCCACATCTGCCTCCAGGGTCTCGGAGTGCGTCTCGATCTCTGTCAAGACAGAACGGAGCTGTTTGTTGAAGGACTGGCCGAATATTCCCTGCGCATAGGTGTCGTTAAAGAGCTCTTTCCGCGCGTCTTCCGCATCCTGCGTTGACTTCTTGAGGTCTTCACCGGCGTTCACGTCATACGGGTCCAGGGCGATACTGCCTTCTGATGCGCATGTCTTCTCATGCACCTTCTCCTGGTTGTAGCATGCCAAGTACCTGAGATACGTTCACAGACGTCCGAAGGAGAAACGCTGTGCTGCGTCTAGGCGGCTAGGGAACCATCTTTGCATCTTTCGGTCGCAAATCCGAGGTGCTCGTAGTGGCGGGTGTATTTGCACTCCGTGTCAGGATATGTCCTGGCTGTTGCATACAGGAAATGCGCCGTAGATTTGAATTGTGGAGTTCAGTGGTGGGACGACTGCTTCGCGGTATGTGGATGTACATGCGACCTCACAAACTCAAGCTGAACAAACCGAAAGGGCAATTTCAAGCCCTAGCTTGGCGCAGTCAAGAGCACAGTCATTCTGCTGCCTCCGGTATTGAGTGCGAGACCCAGCATGCGGTTGTGCTTCGGTCTTAAGTATCTACAATGGCTGCGGGTATGCAGTAGAGGAATATTGGGCAAACGTTTTGGTGATTTTAGACCATGCTCTTGCTGGTCGCTTCATGTCAATTAATGACATCCCTTGGCCAAGGTTCTTGTGGCCGGCAGAATCATCCACCAGGTGTTCGTCCAGCAAGAAAGGGCACAGAGCTTCCAACACCGACCGTTCCGAGGCTTTCCAGTCCTGACAGTGTGGGGGCCCAGGACATACAAATAGTTCCGGATAAGATGGATTGAAGCATTAAGTTCCCTCCGAGTCGGTTCAATCAGGCAAATTATGTCGGCTGTAGTGTAGACGACTGTTCGACTGTCACACCACAGCTACTCCTGGCTAAGTGTATATGGGATGAAATGCTGACCTGTCGCCATGCAACTTAGCAGCACAGCTTGCATTTCGCATGACGAGTCTGAATCAATGAGCAATTGGCCGTGCGGTAATGCAAGGCAAGGTTTAATTACGCAGAAAAAGCATTGCGACCGCCCCGTCCTCAAATCCCACATGCGTCGGACCATAGTGCGGACGCTTGGCATAACACTCCTGTGGGTCGGGGGATGGCGTTCACCGACCGAGCTATCCACCTCCACATGCGCGAACCAAATGCCAATCCAATTGCTTGCATCGGTCCTCCGTCTTACCTTCGACACTCCACGTGCCAGTCAGCAGCCTCACACACTTTGCACACAGTCAAGAGCACAGGCACTTGCAAGAACTTGAGGTCGGGGCCAGGAGCTAGACAATGTTTGGGGAAAGCAGATCATGGGACTCTGCCTTCGACCCAAAGGTTGTACACTTCGGTTTGGGACCCTTTTCAGAGATCCTCTAAGACTCTAAAGCAATGTAAGGGTCATATGAGGAGTATATTGGGGGAACTTCTTCGGGTTACATCTTGACAAGAGGGCAACGGGGCACCCAAACCTAAGGTCGTCTAGGCCGCGCCTTTCGTACGAAGCCCCCCCCCCTCTGCTCTCCGTGACGTGACGAGCAACCAGTGATGCAGCTCTGCTGGCTGTTGCAAGGCTATGCACGACTCTTCTTTTTGATTCCCAAACAGCCTGAAAAGCGACCAGCAGTGTCGGGACCATGTGGGGGGGGGGTGGGGGGGTGCCTCAACGACAAGGGGGGGGGGGGGGGTGGCCTGGTGTAACTTCAATTGACACCTGGGTTCTGGGGGAGGGCGGGGGCAGGGTGACCCAAGCAGTGGTGAAATCGATCTTCTCGGAAGCGCCGCCCCCCCCCCCCCTCTGCGCGTACCTTGAACTATTGAAATATCAACCAACCAGATAAAGACCTTGAGCTCATGTGAGACCCAGCAAGAGAAGTGTAGGCCACAAGGACACAAAACTCCAAAGAGCTATCGTGGCATCCTCCGGAACTCCCATGCCATGATGCACTTCGGACCGGTCAAGCCGTCTCCGTGGGAAACAGGCAACGGGGGCAAACGACACGATATGACACGATGCTCCCAGCACGCTACGCGCAGAACCGGGCCTACTGCAACGACCGAGTTGGCCGCTTCAACGGCATCAGGTATCGAACGGCACCGGAATCGTTTGTGTCTGCTTCATGCCCATGCTACTTGTGCGGTGCAAGAAGTGAATGTGGACGACGAGATTTCATCTTAGACACCGCACGTCTGCCGAGCGAGCGGTTGCACTTTCACGACATCTGGCACACCGAAGTCGCAGAAGGACAACGTCTGGTTTTTGTCGAGCGTTGTGCTTTCCTTTCTGTGGCCCGAAAGGCGTACGGCTTGCTTGACATGGGGACAATGAGACTTTCAACCTCCTGTCTTCTGTGACCTTTGCGACGCGACGCATGAGACCGGGTATTCGACCAGGGAGCGACGTTTACTGCGACATCGTCTCGCCTCTGGGGTTCAAATTTTCTTTCCATGGCAGTATCCATGTTGGAGGGGGGCAGGGCTCGACCTCGCGCCGTGAGCATCGGAGAGCCTCACAGGAGCAGAGTGCTTCTCGGCCGACGGTGAACGATGGTGCCAGATCCAATCCAAGGTCACGTCAGAGTCCTCTTCTCACGGAGAACAGCTGGAGGCGAAGGGAGAAGCATGATATTTCGGATCAGCAAGAGAGCCGCCAAGCGCATCCGAAACCCTGCCTGGAGATCCTTTCGACTGGATCCGCTGGCAAACCCCCCAACCGTGGTTCGTCCTGGAGCCCAACTAACCCTCGTGGATGTCCCAAGACTTCCACCCTTAGCAGCTTCAAATAATTGTGGAACAGGAGCAAAATCGAAAAAGGGTCTATTTGCTTGTTTCGGGGTGGGGTCATGAATTACGGTCAACCTCAGGCTCAGGAGAATCTCTTGTTCCGTCAGGTCTTGCTACGGCGAGGGATTCTCGATGTGGCTGCAGGTCTGCAAGATTGCTCGAGACTTGCAACTCAGCAACGAGTAGAGCTTGCATGTGGTGACCCCTTCGGCGTCAGCATCGCACACGATGAAGCGGCAATGTGGCCTTGGTGGAGGTCCAAATTGAATGTTAAGATGACTCGGACATGAGAAGGGGCCCAGGGTTGCCCAGGGCTCGCTAATCAAGGCTCCTCAAAAACTCCCCCGCGTTTGTCCGGCCTTTCCAGGGCTCCTGGAGAAGCCGAGTGGCAGTATGTTGCATCTGGCCTTCGACTCCGTCAGCCCTGTCGGCTTCTCTACCGTGATTTCCAAAGAATCTGTCACGTGGCACTTCTCGGCTGTCCACCAGAAAGTCTTCACGCAGGTATTCTCATAGGAGCAGAGAGCTTCGGAGTCGCGGCCCAGCTTTTGCATCGTGGCGTACCACAGGGCGTCTTTGGCCTGGCGCCGGTAAATTTGGAGGCTGTCTGTATTCACCTCCAAGTTCTCGGCCGACTTGTAGATGATCTCCTTGGATACAAAACAAACCACCTTCCCAAACACTAGAAAAAGTGGAGAGCTGGATTCAGGAAGTCGAAGAAGAGCCCAGGAGCGTGGTAGTTTTGCCACTGTAGCTGGCAGTCATCGACCAAGAAGGCTTCGCTGAACATGTGCATGCTGTTGCTGCCCTTCTCAATTCTCGCCTATCCAACAACAGGATTCAAGCCAGCTGCCTGCATTACCTACTATATCTTTCACACTGAACCGCAAACCTCAAGCCACCTAAATCTGGCCTTGAGCTGGTCGTGGATCTCAGTCAACTCCTGCGACATCTTGGACCCCCGGAGTTGCACGTGCACGTCCTGGGTTCGGCTTCGCAGGCTGCTCCAAGAGATTCTGCTAGAGAATGAACCGGAGATTTGATGTCGTTGAACACCGTTTCCCTTCTCGCTTTTTGCTCGACTCAAGACGACTCAACGCAACCTAGTCTCCGCAAGACGGAGTACAAGGGCTTCAGCGCTCGCGGCCTGCCAAGTCTGCATTTCCGCCCAAGCGTTGTAGACGGCCTGCTGCATTGCGCCAGCGAATCTTGAGACCCCCGATATTTTGACGAAGGCATCTTCTGGCCACCTGCTTCCACACCAAGCCGTGCTGTCAAATTCAAGCTTCTCCGACAGGTTCGTCCCCAACCTGAGCAATGTCTAAGGATGGCTGCAACACTAGTCTGAGAGGTGGTTCGCAGAGTTGGCATTGAAACGGCAAGCACTTGGCGGCTCCCGCGCTTGCTGAAAGGTGGACCCTGCGAGTTGTTGGATCGGCCTTATCCAAGTCTTGGCAGCTGAGGCGCTTCAGCAGCTTGTTGTCGTTGGCACCGCTTTCATCCAAGAGCCCCAGCCCGAGAAACTTCGACTCAAGAGGTCTGGCCTCCTCAACAAGCTGCGTCCTGGGATTGTCCGGCAACCCCCATCTCGAGAAACGAGGTTTGGGGTTGAGGAATTCAGGCTCAGATACCAGTCAAATGCCCTGGCTGTTGGGCGAGGAGGTATGTAACAACACCTGTACAATGCAAAGGTCAGGGGTCAAGCTGCAGCGTCAAGGGAGCAGAATCAAGACTATGCTTGGCAGCCAGTTTGGTCTTTGCTGCTGCCTCACGGGGGCAAATTGGCGAACCGTTCTCCCTGAAACCTGGTCCAGAATGTGGAAAATTGCTTCTCTGTATGGCCGAAAATCAGCACCACCACCGGCTTGCTCGATTTGGGGAGCGATGGTGTGACGGACGCTTGTTTGCACTCTGGGTGCCTGGAAGCAGCGGTGACTCATCCAGCAGATACGTTGCTATGTTCGGATTACAGTGATATGCACCTAATACAACTAGAAGCGGATCTTTCTGCTGGGCAACATTCATAGTAGGTTGGTTCGGGGACTGGAGGCTAAGTCCATTGCAACCCTTACCTTGACGGATGTTAACGCAAAATGTCAAGTTCTTTCACTCACTCGAGGCGCCACATACGTTCCAGCTGGACATGCTTCGTGGAGCTGGCGTCTGCCTGCAACCTTCGCTGTGTTGGCAGCTACCGCACCAGATACATACTGTCGAAAAAGATGTTCAAAACACACACACACACACACACACACAAACACAGAGACACAGAGACACAGAGACACAGAGACACAGAGACACAGAGACACAGAGACACAGAAACACAGAGACGCAGAGACGCAGACACACAGAGACACAGAGACACAGAGACACAGAGACACAGAGACACAGAGACACAGAGACACAGAGACACAGAGACACAGAGACGCAGAGACGCAGACACACAGAGACACAGAGACACAGAGACACACAGACACACAGACACACAGACACACAGACACACAGACAGACAGACAGACAGACAGACAGACAGACAGAGACACAGACACAGACACAGACACAGACACAGACACAGACACAGACACAGACACAGACACAGACACAGACACAGACACAGACACAGACACAGACACAGACACAGACAGAGACGGAGACAGAGACAGAGACAGAGACACAGACACAGACACAGACACAGACACAGACAGACCACAGAGACACAGACACAGAGACAGAGACGGAGACAGAGACGGAGACAGAGACGGAGACGGAGTCGAGGACAGAAAGAATCTGTATGTACGTATGTATATTTATACGCTACCCCCCCTTCCAAGACACACCTTAAGACCACATAAAGACCCCAAACCCTAAAGCTAAAACCCTAAACCCAAACCCCAGCCGAACAGAGAACATCCCATCCTGATGGCGCTCATATGTCTTCGTAGTTTCAGGTCGACAAGCACGCACATGCCGCCCAGCGACAGGGACCCCTCGCGTGGCGGCACGCATTCGTGCGATCTCCACCGAGCTACAACTCCTGGCAACAACTCTGTGGCAGCCTTCCTCAGTCCGTGCAGGCAGCGTTAGCAACAGAGATCCGTGAGGAGTGCTGACATTGGGAGTCTACTAGCACCCTGCAAACATGCGCGGCCTACCGTTGCTGTTGAGGTCACAGAAAGAAGGAAGAGAAAAACGCTGATGTCTTGGACCCAGTTTCATGGCCTCCCGAATCCCTGCCTCAGCGGTTCGGGCGGCGGGACACTTGCCGTTGTAATTCCAATACTACAGAAACTCAAAGCCGGTATTAGCTTTAACTTCGGTGTGAATGAAACCAATCACAGACGACTGCACACCTCTGCCATATCCACGACTTCCGCGTTCGGCGGGATCCCCAGACCACCTTCAGAGAGCCCCGAACTTGAATTCTAATTACCTTTCTGGTGGAACCGAAAACTTCACACAAAGGGATCCTGGCCGCCTCTTTAGACAAATATTCAACAAGTTCATGTTGGTCACTTGGTTTCGGCGCGGCTACACAAGGGATTGAAGGATTGCGAGTCCGCAGCTTTGCTTCGCAAGGCCTCGCGACCCTGGCTTACCTAGTTTGTGGCTGCATGGGTGGTTGGGTGGCTGGCTTTCTCTTTGTTTTCCGGCTTGGCAAACAGGGTCATTGGTGAGCACAGATCGCAGGTTTCCTACCACAGCTTCAGAAAGGACACGTTCTTTAGCGCACAATACTGTTAGGTGCGCCTCATCTGGTTTGCGCAGGAAGGGCCCACCGAACCGCAGGTCCTTTAAGGCGCTCTCCTCTAAGACTCTAAGGACTGTCATGGTCCATACACTTCATGTGATTCGGAGCAGTTGAACTTGGCTCTTTGGGTCCGCAATAACCTGCGAGGACCCTCACCCACTCTGCTTGATCCGAAGGGGGTGGATAGAGTCCTGCGGCTAGATGGTGCCGACCCTGCCTGAGCGGAACCTGTTGCGCAGCATCACCAGCTCTCCGAAAAAGGCCAAGAGCTGACGGACCTGGAGGGTCTGGTGCAAGGGGTTTCCAAGACAGGTTAGGTGCAGTACCTTCAAGGGGGATAGGACTTTTCTGCTGGTTCTCTGTATATCTACACATATACCTATAGAACATTATAGAACCAGATACGCATGTGGGTCTGTAAAGCACCGCGTACTCTGATACAAGGTCCATCTGGCACTCATTTTGCTTGAATCCACTTTATGATGCCGACCAAGAAACCGTCTGTCCGCAGAGGCCGGCGTCCAGGGCTGCGTTGATCTCGACCGAAAGCCTGGATTTGGAGGCGTCCGAGTGGCTAACGGTCTCACGCCTGACTCTTGGCTCTGCTTGGGGCCCTTTCCGGGTCGACGAATTGTACATCTACATCTTTATCGCCATCTGAATATACCAAGCATACATTCACATCTTTCTACATCTTCTGATACTTACATATACACACACCAACACGCATCACATTCTCTCCGTTCCCGACGAAATCTCAAGACTTCGAATGCACACTCATTGCAAAGAACACCCAACAGCCTCAACAGCCTAGGATTGGGGCATGTCTGCGGTGATACCTCTTTGAAGCTTGAAGCGTGCACTTCTCAGGCTGTGCCAGCTACGACACTTCTGACTGCAAGCTTCAAGGACTCTTTTTTAATCTAACCGAGAGTTTACAGCGAGTGCCTGTGGCGCTTCATGAAAACTTAGGCCTTGGTGAAAACCCTTGGGCTGCAAAAGCTCCTCCAACAAAACTTTAAGTGACTTCTACAGTGGCTAAACGGCTAAATTGGGTTCAATCCGCCGAGGCCTCGGGCCGTAGGTCCCACCTCTAATCCCCTCCCCGACCCCAGCTTTGCACCCCTTTTTGGTCTAAAATGGGTCCCCTATCAGACAAGTGTCCGGCACCAGGATCAGCATCCCGCCCCCCCCCCCCCCCCCCCCCCCCCACACCACGCCTCCCCCCAACCCCTCGCACCCCCCCCCACACCCCCCCAGCCAAGAAGCGTTGCCAATGCGGCGCTATCACTGAGGCAGAATGAATCACGAGCTTTGCCTTCGAGCAGACAACATGCTGCCACGAGAATGGGGGTCTTTGTCTGAAGCCACGGTGAATGGTTTGGGGAGCACATCTTGCAAATTCTTAGGGATTACAAAATGCGCGCCTGCTGATTCCCTGTTTCCTCTGGCTCCTTGCTGCAGTCTCTCGTTTCCCTGATTGCTCATTTAACACTTGACGATATCGCGGCCTGTGAGATTCTGCACCGTGTGGGCGCGTACTGATTGAAGATCATGCAGAAGGAGGTCCTGGCACAGAACGTGGACGTGGCTTCGAGTCGTGGAATCTCCGGAAGCAGAAATCCCAGCTTTCTGACGTGACGTCCCATGACAATCACGGCATCTTCGCAGGTTGTATGACACCCCCAACCACTGCCTTATCGGTTGTCTAAGCTTCGCCTCAACCCAGAAAGTGCATTGAACCATAGAAGTCCTGCAAGAGGGCTCCGTCACGGATCTGCGCGGCCAGATTCCCGAAGTCCATGACCACTGAGGTCCAAGTCTGCTGCAGCGCTTCGTGTGCCTGACGTGCTAAAGTGGCCAAACACAGCACAAGAGTTCTCCAGCGAAGCGGCTGTGCCAATGAGCTGCCAAGGTCTGTTATGCCAATTTGACGGCGAAACTCCTCCTCCTCCTCCTCCTCCTCCTCCTCCTCCTCCTCCTCCTCCTCCTCCTCCTCCTCCTCCTCCTCCTCCTCCTCCTCTTCCGCCTCCTCCTCCGCTTCAATTCATCCCCAGCATAAACGCTTCGAATTCAAAAAAGTCAGCACAGCTGTGGCTTGTTGAAACCAAAGCTTTGGATGGGTGTCTTCAACAGCTCTACTTGAACACATCCAATCAGTGGGGAAAAAGGTGAACTCTACTTGCAATTCCTGGACTGCTGAATTCCTGCGCTGGACCTACACTGGTAGCCAGACAGCTGAAGCATGGCTCCCAATAAGCGGGTGCCACTGGGCAAGCTACTGACTTCCGGGCACGGACGAAGGTGGCGTAGGATTCCTTCAGCTGCCTGTCCAAGCGGTTGATAAGGGCAGGGCCCAACGGAGTGGTTTTATTGGCGCCTAGGTAAGCTGTAATCACTGTAAATGCGCATATGGACTCAAGGGGAACGACATCGAAAACTTTTCCGGTCTGTCCGGCGGGTGGACGGCAGGACAGCGCATGTCACCTTACAAACCTTACATACTTGCCTATACATGCCCCGAACCCATCATCTAATAGTGTGCTTCGAGCTGCTTGAACCCTGCGCGGCATTCTGTGGTGTAGCTCTGGAGCATCTCGCTGGCTGCACGTGTAGCCTTGACGTGCTGCTGGGAAGCCTGGCTCAGCTTGGGCAAAGGGATGCAAAGGGCAGGTGAGGTGGTTCAGGGCTCAGGTTCCACATTCTCTAAGAATACGAGATCTAAGAGATGTTGACATCTTCCAGGAGACAGGAGCCTTCGGTTTCATGCGAAATCTTGAGGGGGCCAGGAGAACGAAAACAAAATGGCCGCCGAGCTGGAGGCCAGGCCCTCTCCAGGCATCATCGCATCCAGCCACAACAGCAGATGAAGGAAACGACCACAAGAAGAAGAATAAGAAGAAGAACAACAACAACAACAACCAAAAGGGGGCGGTTCCATACTGGCATCTTTCAACCCTTATGTCATTTTGTATATGCAGCAGAAAGGGCAGAGGACTGAGGAGAAAGCAATCAGTGACTCCGCATTTCCTGACTGCATGTATCAGTAGAAGGCTGGTACACCCATTCTTTCGGGTTTCGGTCGGCGGCCCAGGAAACGAAACAGAATTTTATACGTTCGGAGACAGCAGTTGCTGTACCCTGCCATGTGCACGATGTTTACACCAAAAGAAACAAATCTTTCTTGCAGTGTACACGAGTTCTGCGTGGAATAACACCTGAAAGAGACAATTGTGGCACCAATAAGACTTCAGGAGGTTAGCTATTGCACAACTGCTGGATTCTGGCGCCAAGCAGGACAAAATCTCACGCCAGAAAGGGGTGAGGCTTTTTTCCAATCACCAATCCCTGTACGATGGCGGGTTCAAACACGCGTGACGAACTCAGCGCAGGCATGATACAAACTCGCTCAACATCGCTCAACTCGACGCAAGCATAGTGTACTTGGCGCACCGTGCAGGCGAGGGGGCACTGGGCGCCGAAGCACGCACATACAAGTAGCATGTGGCAAACTGTCAGAAATAGAAATTACACCAGCGAAGACCCCAAACAGAATGCATCGAAGTTCAAGTTGGAATATGTTGGGGCGCGTGGGTGGTGGGACACAAGCATTGGAGAGGACCCAGGATCGTGAACGGCCCTCGACGAGAGCTATTCAAACCCTACGGGTAGAGTAGCGGTGCAATGTGAAGAGCCGGAGGCCCAGCATCATAAGCATGAGGCCTCTCGATCACACAGCTCAGGCCCACAGCAAGATTGGACACAGGATCAAGAAAGGCAATCACGCCAACCCCACGTCGAGCAACGCCGCACGAATGAAAGCATATTGAAAGATCAAAACAAATGCATTCCCGCAAGCGCGGTCAAAGTCCATTATGAGGACTAAACGGAACCGTGAGTGATTTTTTCCGCAAGCCGAACGAAGAGCGTCGTACACAGGATCTTTCTGCCGCAGCAACCATGCACGGAAAAAAACACATTTTTCCCGCAACTGCTACAACTTTGCTGCCTACAAAAGAAGTAGGAAGGGATTTGTCGGCTTACAAGGCAAACAAAAAACTCTCTTTCCACGGAACCGTTCACAATTTTTTCCGCAGACTGAACGACTGAACGAAGAACATCGTCCACAGGATCTGGCTGCCGCAGCAACCACGCATGGAAAAACAACACATGTTTCCCGCAACTGTCACAATAGTGACGCCTTGCAAGACAGGATACCTGGTCTCTGCTGTAGACGTTTGACGTTTGTGTAAGAAGCGCAATACAGCTTGATAATTATACGGGTCGGTTGGCTGTCGCACGGAAAAAAGCGGTATAACTTCGTCGCGCATACCTGGCAAAAAGACGTGGGAAGGGATTTGTCGGCTTACAAGTCAAACACAAAGCGCTCTTTACACGGAACTGCTCACGATTTGTGTCCGCAGACCGAACGAAGAGCGTCGTACACAGAATCTTTCTGCCGCAGAAACCACACACGGAAGAAATGCACATGTTTCCCGCAACTGTTGCAACGTTGCCGCCTGAAGCCCGAACGAAGAGCGTCCTTACGTTTGTGGAAGAAGCGTAAAAGAGGCTTGCTATTCGCTCCGGTTGGCTGTCGCGTGGCAAAAAGTGGGAACTTTGCTGCGCATGTTTGGCAAAAAGAAGCGCGAAGGGATTTGCAGGCTTACAAATCAAACAAAAAGCGCTCTTTACACGGAACAATTCACGATTTTGTTCGCAGACCGAACGAAGAGCGTCGTACACAGAATCTTGCTGCCGCAGCAACTACGCACGGAAAAATGTACATTTTCCGCAACTGCTACAACATTGCTGCCGAGACCAAACGAAAAGCGTCCTGCACAGGATCTTGCTGCCGCAGGAACCACGCGCGGAAAAAATGCACATTAATTTTTCCCGCAACTGTCACAACGTGACGCCTTGCAAGACAGGATACCTGGCTTCTGCTGCCTACGTTTGTGTTTGTAAAAGAAACGTAAAAGAGCTTGCTGTTCGCTTCGGCTGGCTGTCGCACGGGAGTAAGTGGGAATTTCGCCACGCGTATTTGGCAAAAAGAAGTAAATAGTTTCTTTGCACGGAACCATTGACGATTCCCGCAAGTGTAGCAACGTTGCCGCCTTGCAAGACAGGGTACCTGGCTGCGTACGTTAATGGAAGAAGCGCAAAAGAGGCTTGCTATTCGCTTAGGTTGGCTGTCGCACAGCAACAAGTGGGAACTTTGCAGCGCATGTTTGGCAAAAGAAATAGGAAGGGATTTGTCGGCTCACAAGGCAAACGAAAGGCTCGCAGACCGAACGACGAGCATCGTCCAAAGGATCTTGCCGCAACAGCAGCCGCGCGCGGCAAAAAAACACATTTTTCAAATTGTTGCTTCTATCAGCTTGCCTTTTTGCCAAGCTTACCCTAGAATGGATCCGTTCGCAAGGAGGTTTTAGGGTAAGCAACGGGCCAATATTGCTCTCTGCTTGCCCTAGGATGGATCCGTTGGCAAGGAGGTCTTAGGGTAAGCAAAGAGCCAATATTGCTCTTTGCTTACCCTAGGACGGATCCATTGGCAAGGAGGTTTTAGGGCAAGCAAAGAGCCAATATTGCTCTGTGCTGATGGATCCGTTGTCAAGAAGCTCTTAGGGTAAGCAAAAAACAAATATTGCTCTTTGCTTACCTGCTTCGAACTTCGCCTGAAGTGTGAAGCTTTTATCTTCGCGCTTCGCTTAAAACCTGCCCTCGCCTGAAACCTGAAGCTTCGCGAGCTTCGCGCTTCAGAAACGAACGTTTTCTGGCCGACCCCTTGCTCGCAATCAACTTATTCCACAGAAACACACACATGGATACGTTACAATTGATGACCTCGAAAAATTCTAACATAAACGCTTGAACAAATGACATCCGCAAAGATAAAGGCTTGAATGGATGACCTCTTGCTGGGAGTTCCAAAGCTCTTCAGAAGCAAGAAGAAAACGAAACTACAGGTTACAGTTCTGCAGGCTATTTTTAATGCATATTGCGAGAGCAGTGTGCAATGTCTTGCGTTTTGGAAGGTGGGGTCTGACATCTAGAACAGCTAACAAATATTCGCGTGCACATATCTGCAAAAGTGCACTTCTGGTTCTGGTGGCAGGCGCTGCCAAGGGAAGCTAAACAAGAACTTAGAAATCCATGGCTTCTCATCGGAGCCCAATGGTACCCCAGCCCAGCCCCATCCTGGGCGCCCGCCCCGTCGCCGGAGCCCAGGAGTGCCAGGAGCACAGGAGCCCAAAAGGGAGACATGAAGGGAGGCCGCGGCCAATTTACGAGCCTAAAAGGGAAACATGAAGGGAGCCCATCGGGAGCCCAGCCCTGTCGCCGCGGCCCACCCATCCAACCCAGGAACAGACGAAGGGAGCCCATTGGAACCCAGCCCCGTCGCCGCGGCCCACCCATCCAAACCAGGAGCCCAAAAACACAGACGAAGGGAGCCCAACGGCAGCCCAAGCCCGCCCAGAAAGGAAACATGAAGGGCCCTGTAGGACCAGACCCGTTGCTGCGGCCCACCCAACCCAGGCAACCCAGAAAGGAAAACATGAAGGGAGCCCAATGGCAGCCCCTGCCCGTCGCTGCGGCCCACCCATCCCACCCAGGAGCCCAGAAAGGAAACACGAAGGGAGCCCACTGGGAGCCCAGGATTGACATGAAGTGCAAGCAAGAGGAAACTTCTGAAAAGTGTGATATGAACGTGCAAAATCTGTGGCGGGTACAGTAAAAGCACACGACCCTGGAACGCTCTCTGCCAACGGACCCGCACGATCCTAACAGTCCCTATAGTCTGCAATTTGTCCACTCTCTGGGGGAAAAGATTCCATGTCTCCATGCCCTCTAGTTTAGACTGCTCTAAAGTCAGCCGGCTATCCTAGTACAAACAGGGACTCCTATTTAGCGCTCGACAGCGAGCAAAGAAGTAGCTACCTCAGTTTCGACGACAAACACCGCCTGCAGGTAGTCGTCAAGATGCCGGCGAACTTGCCACCATGTGCTGTCGAAGAACCGCAAAGCTTTCTGAGCGTTGCGCAAGCTCTCATGCTCCGTCGAAGAATTCGACGCGAGCTCTCCAACACTGTCCATCAACACCCTTTGCTCCATCTTCTTGGCCGCGGCAGTTTGCTGATACATGCCTAGTACCTTAGCCTTCTTCATGTAGAGCTTGTTGGTGTAGGCAGCTGTTCGCAATGCTGTCTGGCGTACTTCTTCTGCGCGGGATAGCTTCTTACTGCTGAGCAGCGAGACCTGCTTGTGGAGGTCATTGACCTGCGCCGATGATGTGCTACAGTACTGCTGCTCTTAGATTCCGGAGCACTGCGCAATTTGGATATGAGTTCTGCATCCTCTTAAATTTGCCTTTGACTTGTGAATCACCATGGGGAAAAGCAATGGTAAAGCATTGACGCGTAGTCAAACTCTACCCAAACCTGCCTGGACAACCACCGCAAGCATCTTGCTAACAAAAACAATCGGCTTAGTTTACAAAATTCAAGCCTCCTCTGCTTGCTGATCACAGGACGCCCTACGATGTGCCCAAGCTCTCCTCTTCACCATGCCTCTGCCGCCAATAGCAACAGCGGCAACAACTACAACAACAGCAGCAACGGCAGCAACGGCAGCAACGGCAGCAACGGCAGCAACAGCAACAGCGCGGCGGTGGTGGCACTAGCACCACCACCAGCACCAGCACCACCACCACCAAGCAGAAGAAGAAGAAGAAGAAGAACAAGAAGAAGAGTACAATCAACCGCAAACGTGCACCTCGTCTTCCATCTGCTGCAGCAATGGGTCCGCTTCGGTTGCGTTTGCTCCTGTGCGTAGTCTGAGAGCGGGCACATGGTCACATCAAGGCATTGCCGATTCATTGGTGTAGATTCGGCCGGGTCTATGTAGGCCTGATGGCACACAAAACTAAAAAGTCCTTTACATGTCAATCCCAAACTGATGTGGTTGCTCGAGAAACCTGTTTGTGTTCGAATAAAGCAACTCTTGGCATCACGCTGATGTGGCGCAAGCCCTTCAGCCTCCAATTTGCACCGGCAGTAAGTACAACTCTCAACCTTCAAACTGAACTGTACTTCATGGTATGTTGCCCCAACGATCAATTACAGACACAGAAAGCAGTGCTGTCGAGACAATCATAAACGAATCCTCGTTCTTCCTGAGAAATCCCGCGAGGCTAAGCCTTTAGTCCGGGGGCACAGAAGCCCGTGATTTCCTGAAACAGGGTTTGTTGCCGACTGGAGCTTCAAGTCCCACATTTTAAGCTTTCGGGCACGGAGAGGAGGCGTTGCGTTGCAGCCCTCTGAACCTCAAGAACAACATCCCTGAGCTTTGAGGTCTACGCCGCCTTCTGAATCTAAACCTGTCCGTGAACTCGTATTCATACTATCATTGGCTACATACTACAAGGCAAAGCCACAAGGCGGGAACATGGTAACATGAACAGTTGGGGCCCTTTCAACCTTCCAAGCCTTTACATCTATCTTCGGATGATATGGAAGGCCACTCAAACCCTAGAGCAAACTGCACATGACTTTGAATGAATCCTCTGCTTACACGAACCCTCGACATCCCTCAACCTGAGGCCTAACCTTTAAACACAGATTCGCCTTAGACCCCAAGCGGCCCTAGCGGTACACCGTAAACCCTGAACCCGAAACCGTAAGCCCTAAACCCTAAACCCCTAAACCCTAAACCCTAGACCCTGAACCCAAAACCCTAAACCCTGAACCCTAAACCCAAAACCTAAGGCAGCATCCTGGCAGCGTCTGCCATCGGGTAGCGAAGCTTCGGATGGAGCGCTGCGCTGCCTGGGAGGCAGCCGTCTCGAGACCAGCCTGGTCCAGGACTCCAAGAAGGGTTTAGGGGTTAGGGTTCAGGGTTCTGGGAGTTCAGGGAGTTTGGGGTTTAGGGTTTTGGGAGTTTAGGGAGTTTGGGGTTTAGGGTTTCGGGAGTTTAGGGTTAATGGATTTGGGAGTTTAGGGTTGAGGGCTTGCGGGGTCTTTAAGGTTTCGGGTATGGGGCTTGGAGAAGTTGCCAACTCTGGCCTCCCAATACAATGCCATATGATAAAATACTGTATAACATTTGGCGGAATTCGAAAAGTATATATATACATATACACACACATATATATATAATGTAGTAGCAATCTAGTAACAATTCAATACAATACAAAACAATCCAGTACAATACAAGATAATGAAGTATGGTATCATTCATATAGATCAGTTCAACATAACGTCGATTTATATTCATATGATACGAGTACATAATGTATTGAGCTTCTGCAGAACCTCTTTTTCAAGCTGCCTTAAGCGTTATGTTTTTTTATTACTATTATTCCTACGATTATAAGCCTTAGTACTAAACTATTATTTCAATTATCGTGACTATGGTTATTAAAAAATATTGTAAGAATACTGTTGTTATTGTTATGATTACCATTGCTATTCTTATGATTGTTATGGTTCTGGACAGAGCAGCCTCGAGGGCCATGCCTCTCATTTCGAGCAAGCTCCCGCGGATTCGGCGCTGGATGCTCTGCCCTTCTTGGAGCAAGGACTCTGAGGAGGAGTCGCTGAGATGCCCTACCTTGGAATGGTGGTTTGGGGTTTAGGGGAAGAGAATTTCTTCGGGAGTCTACTCTCCTCAGGCCCTCTGAGTTTACTACAATGTAAAGGAGTCTTGCAACCCATGCAGGTCCTACTGTGGATGGACAAAATCTTGCACCACTTTTCAGACACGTCTTTTTGTGTTCCCCGTGCCCCCTTTTTAACATTGGCTGTGAAAAGCTAGCGGCCGGATTTGCTCCAATGGCAGAAATCTTGCACCGCTCAAGTAGTCCCAGCCACGAATGTTAAGCAGGGGTGCGGGGCTTGATGCCCCAATCGTTTGAAGTATGCATGTACAGGTGGTGCAAGATTTCGTCCATCCACCGAAGGGCAGAAGTGTTCTTGCATAAGCTGATAGTGCGTACCCATCCTTTTCTACGGTGCACTCGGGACAGCGACACAGCATTCCATCTACACTCAACGCTAGAGTCAAGTCAATACTGCCAAAATGTGGAAAATCTAGCATTTTGCTGTTCCGGACCTTAAGAAGCTAGAAAAAAATTGAATTCCTATAAAAGCAACAAATGCAGTGCAAAATGACAGTCAACACTCAGTCAACACTCAGTCAACACTACAGTCAACACTACAGTCAACACTACAGTCAACACTACAGTCAACACTACAGTCAACACTGCCAAAATGCTGGAAAATCCAGCATTTTGCTGTTCTGGACATTAAGAAGCTAAAAGAACTTACATTTTCCTTTAAAACGAGTGAATTGTGGAACCTGCTGGTTTTTCCAGGGTTTTCGTAGTGTTGACTGTAGTGTTGACTGTAGTGTTGACTGTAGTGTTGACTGAGTGTTGACTGAGCGTTGACTGTAATTTTGCACGTATTTGAAGCACGTTGGGAGTGCAAAACGGCATCCCAGCCAAGTTAAAGTCGTTGAAGCCAGAGAAACGACCCAGAAAGCCATTGCTAGTCACTCACGATCGTAGAACATACCAGGCAACATTCGCCGAAAGGGACTGAAGGGCAGAAGTGTTTGTGCATAAGCTGATAGTGCGTACCCATCCTTTTCTACGGTGCGCTCGGGACAGCGACACAGCATTCCATCTACACTCAACGCTAGAGTCAAGTCAATACTGCCAAAATGTGGAAAATCTAGCGGACATTAAGAAGCTAGAAAAACATTGAATTGGGTGTAGTGTTGACTGTAGTGTTGACTGAGTGTTGCCTGTCATTTTGCACGTATTTGAAGCACGTTGGGAGTGCAAAACGGCATCCCAGCAAAGTTAAAGTCGTTGAAGCCAGAGAAACGACCCAGAAAGCCATTGCTAGTCACTCACGCTCGTAGAACATACCAGGCAACATTCGCCGAAAGGGACTGTGGATGGACAAAATCTTGCACCACTTTTCAGACACGTCTTTTTGCGTTCCCCGTGCCCCCTTTTTTACATTGGCTGTGAAAAGCTAGCGGCCGGATTTGCTCCAATGGCAGAAATCTTGCACCGCTCAAGTAGTCCCAGCCACCAATGTTAAGCAGGGGGTGCGGGGCTTGATGCCCCAATCGTTTGCAGTATGCATGTACAGGTGGTGCAAGATTTCGTCCATCCACCGAAGGGCAGAAGTGTTTTTGCATAAGCTGATAGCGCGTACCCATCCTTTTCTACGGTGCGCTCGGGACAGCGACACAGCATTCCATCTACACTCAACGCTAGAGTCAAGTCAATACTGCCAAAATGTGGAAAATCTAGCATTTTGCTGTTCCGGACATTAAGAAGCTAGAAAAAAATTGAATTCCTATAAAAGCAACACATGCAGTGCAAAATGACAGTCAACACTCAGTCAACACTCAGTCAACACTACAGTCAACACTACAGTCAACACTACAGTCAACACTACAGTCAACTGAAGCACGTTGGGAGTGCAAAACGGCATCCCAGCAAAGTTAAAGTTGGGAGTGCAAAACGGCATCCCAGGAAAGTTAAAGTCGTTGAAGACAGAGAAACGACCCAGAAAGCCATTGCTAGTCACACACGCTCGTAGAACATACCAGGCAACATTCGCCGAAAGGGACTGTGGATGGACAAAATCTTGCACCACTTTTCAGACACGTCTTTTTGTGTTCCCCGTGCCCCCTTTTTTACATTGGCTGTGAAAAGCTAGCGGCCGGATTTGCTCCAATGGCAGAAATCTTGCACCGCTCAAGTAGTCCCAGCCACCAATGTTAAGCAGGTGGTGCGGGGCTTGATGCCCCAATCGTTTGAAGTATGCATGTACAGGTGGTGCAAGATTTCGTCCATCCACCGAAGGGCAGAAGTGTTTTTGCATAAGCTGATAGTGCGTACCCATCCTTTTCTACGGTGCGCTCGGGACAGCGACACAGCATTCCATCTACACTCAACGCTAGAGTCAAGTCAATACTGCCAAAATGTGGAAAATCTAGCATTTTGCTGTTCCGGACATTAAGAAGCTAAAAAAAATTGAATTCCTATAAAAGCAACACATGCAGTGCAAAATGACAGTCAACACTCAGTCAACACTCAGTCAACACTACAGTCAACACTACAGTCAACACTACGGCCAACACTGCCATAATGCTGGAAAATCCAGCATTTTGCTGTTCTGGACATTAAGAAGCTAAAAAAACTTACATTTTCCTTTAAAACGAGTGAATTGTGGAATCTGCTGGTTTTTTTCAGGGTTTTCGTCGTGTTGACTGTAGTGTTGACTGTAGTGTTGACTGAGTGTTGACTGAGTGTTGACTGTCATTTTGCACGTATTTGAAGCACGTTGGGAGTGCAAAACGGCATCCCAGCAAAGTTAAAGTTGGGAATGCAAAACGGCATCCCAGCAAAGTTAAAGTCGTTGAAGCCAGAGAAACGACCCAGAAAGCCATTGCTAGTCACACACGCTCGTAGAACATACCAGGCAACATTCGCCGAAAGGGACTGTGGATGGACAAAATCTTGCACCACTTTTCAGACACGTCTTTTTGTGTTCCCCGTGCCCCCTTTTTTACATTGGCTGTGAAAAGCTAGCGGCCGGATTTGCTCCAATGGCCGAAATCTTGCACCGCTCAAGTAGTCCCAGCCACCAATGTTAAGCAGGGGGTGCGGGGCTTGATGCCCCAATCGTTTGAAGTATGCATGTACAGGTGGTGCAAGATTTCGTCCATCCACCGAAGGGCAGAAGTGTTTTTGCATAAGCTGATAGTGCGTACCAATCCTTTTCTACGGTGCGCTCGGGACAGCGACACAGCATTCCATCTCAACGCTAGCAGTCAACACTGCCAAAATGCTGGAAAATTCAGCATTTGCTGTTCTGGACATTAAGAAGCTAAAAAACTTACATTTTCCTTTAAAACGAGTGAATTGTGGAACCTGCTGGTTTTTCCAGGGTTTTCGTAGTGTTGACTGTAGTGTTGACTGTAGTGTTGACTGAGTGTTGACTGAGTGTTGACTGTCATTTTGCACGTATTTGCAGCACGTTGGGAGTGCAAAACGGCATCCCAGCAAAGTTAAAGTCGTTGAAGCCAGAGAAACGACCCAGAAAGCCATTGCTAGTCACTCACACTCGTAGAACATACCAGGCAACATTCGCCGAAGGGGACTCAATGGCAGAAGTGTTTTTGCATAAGCTGATAGTGCGTACCCATCCTTTTCTACGGTGCGCTCGGGACAGCGACACAGCATTCGATCTACACTCAACGCTAGAGTCAAGTCAATACTGCCAAAATGTGGAAAATCTAGCATGTTGCTGTTCCGGACATTGAGAAGCTAGAAAAAAATTGAATTCCTATAAAAGCAACAAATGCAGTGCAAAATGACAGTCAACACTCAGTCAACACTCAGTCAACACTCAGTCAACACTACAGTCAACACTACAGTCAACACTGCCAAAATGCTGGAAAATCCAGCATTTCGCTGTTCTGGACTTTAAAGCGAGTGAACTGTGGAATCTGCTGGTTTTTCCAGGGTTTTCGTAGTGTGGACTGTAGTGTTGACTGTAGTGTTGACTGAATGTTGACTGTCATTTTGCACGTATTTGAAGCACGTTGGGAGTGCAAAACAGCATCCCAGCAAAGTTAAAGTCGTTGAAGCCAGAGAAACGACCCAGAAAGCCATTGCTAGTCACTCACGCTCGTAGAACATACCAGGCAACATTCGCCGAAAGGGACCGTAGCAGGATGCGATCTGCGACTTAAGATCTGCAACTTCCGCAAACAGGCATTTTCTCCAGGTTTAAAGCCCTAACTCTTGGTCTGGTGGTGACCCTGTACTAGGTTCTAGGGTTTACGGGTTTAAGCCACCAGCTCAGAAGCTCCAAAAGTCCGCCGAAAGCACAAACTCAACCATACAACCACCACCACAATCTAGAAGACGAGAAGGAAACAACAAGAACACCTGCGCTTCTTGAGTTCACATAGACCACAATCAAGGGCTCGCATCAACCGAAAGAGAGCGTTTACACTTCAGGGGCCAGCCAAAGAAGGATCACTGTGGCATGCCCAGCCAGCAAAGGGCCACTCTAGCTTTGATGGCCGAAGCCACATAGTGCTCCAGAAGCAACTGCCTTGGCTGCTGCCAGGGATTCTGGGCAAAGGTCCCAAAGCTGAGGCTGCAAATCCAAGCAGCGTGTTCTGTCCCACAATGGACACCGCATGCTCGAGGGCTCGTAGAATGGCATCATCGCCTTTCCTGCAAAACATGGTCACAAGGCCTTTCAGTACAGAGCACGAACCACGGAGAAGTGCAGTTGGACCGGGAACACGTTTAGGATTCACGAGGGGGCCATTACCGTGTGCCAAGCAAACAACGTCGTCGCCGCCCTCAGGAAACACGGCTAGCGGCCAGCTCACCCTCGCACGGGGTTTTCTGGCGCGAAGCGCAAGAAACCATAGACTCAGAAAATGCTCCTCCAGTCTCGAACCAGAAACCA